ATGGCATTTAAGGATAATCTATGCTGAGCAGCGTATTTCATCAAGCAGGAAGTGAGACCCAGAAAACAAAGCCTTTTGCCAAAGAGTTCCTTAGGCAGGGGCAAGTTCCAGAACAAAGGAGAGGTGAAAGCTGCCGAGAGCTTGTGTTCTCTCGACTAAGGAGACAATTCACAATCTCCAAAATGCATCTCCTTTCTGGGAACTCTTTATCTCTGCACTTTGAAAGCTATCATCGCCCCAGGTGTTCTGAGCCCCCTTTGCCTTTTTTAATAGGTGGGGAGAGGTAGAGAACTCGGGTTAAGACTTGTCAAGAGTTTCCAAGGGAGTTTTGGAAAAAAGATGAGAGAAAGACAGAAACATCTGTTCCCAGCTAGCTCATTGACTCACCCTGTAACCTTAGCACTTTGGGAAGCCAGAGTGGGAGGTTTGCCTTGCAGTGAGGAGTTTGATCCCAGCCTGGGCAACATAGCGAGACACGCCCCCACCCCCACTGCCTCATCTCTACTAAAGAAGAAAAAAGAAAAATAAAATAAACATCTGACCCTAGGTGGAGGAGACTTGGTGTTTCTCTTAAGAACGCCTGTTTCCGTGGAAACGTAGGGACGACACCAGTCCCCAGGCCTGAGTTGGCAACACAGCTCCACTGCACAACCTCGCAGGCTCAGAGCAGTTTCAGCGTCCACCCTCCTGAAGCCGTGCTGCTCTGGAGAAATATAATGTGAGCCATATGTGTAACTTAAATTTTACAGTAACAACATTCAACTAAAAATAACCAGGTGAAATTGATTTTAATAATACATTTCATTTACCCAATATGTCAAAATGTTATTGTTTCAACAGGTAATGCATATAAAAAATCATGGAGATAGTTCACATTCTGTTTTCCACTGTAAGCTTCCAAAATCTGGTGTGTTTTGTGTTGTATGCTCACAGCACAACTCAATTCGGACTTGCCATGTTCAGGTGCACAATCATCGTGTGTGGCCCAGGGCTGGCGTCCTGGACAGCGCAGGACAAGTGAACACAAACTCCCTCCCTGCCCTTCTCCGCCCACACCTGCCAGCCTGTAAGAGGAGGAAGCACCCCTTCTCCAGGCCAGTGTGGTAGTTCATGGTGGCTGAGACAGGCTAGAATCTCAGGGCTGCTCTGAGGGAAAGAGCTCAGTCTGGACTCTGACTTCCTCCCTCGAAGAAATGGAGATAGGCTGAGCACTTTGGGAGGCCAAGGCAGGAGGATCACCTGAGCCCAGGAGTTCAAAACCAGCCTGGGGAACACAGTGAGACTTTGTCTCTGCAAAACAACAGCAACAAAAATTAGCCAAGTACGGTGGCACACGCCTGTAGTCCCAGCTGCTCGGAAGGCTGAGTTGGAGGATTGCTTTGTGATACCCTGCTTTTTGCCAACTAAAACTAACTCTCCTTTCCCTGACTAAAAGCTTTTCAGGCTTTATGTTAGCCTTTTTTGAGCTGGATAGACTCCATCTTGGCTTCTTCATTTTAGTAACCTTCTCCCCATTCAGTATGTAACTATAGTATAAAGCACGGTCAGACTGACCCTGGGCACCCAGAAATGCCTTTGTTGATAAGAGGCTGAGTAAGTGGTACCAGCAGAGCCTGGGAATGCAGCTGCAGTGAGCGCCCAGAGCCCGCCTTATCTGTAAGTTGTATGTCTTTCATGACAGCTGTACTCCTCACACCTGGCACTGTTTTATTTCTTTTTTTTTAAAGACAGGGTTTCGCCATGTTGGCCAGGCTGGTCTTGAACTCCTAACCTCAGGTGATCCACCCGCCTGGGCCTCCCAAAGTGCTGAGATTACAGGCGTGAGCCACCACACCCAGCCCAGCACTGTTTTATTTCTTATGTATCAGTTTTTCTTTTTAACTTTTTTGCTTACTCTGCCTTTGTGAAAACTTTGTTTCAGCTAGGTTCCCCCCTTCCTGTTAAACTAGTGTATAAAAGACCACCTAATTTTTTCTTCGGGGCGGAGAGAATTTTGGGCGTTAGCCACTCTGGGTCACCAGCTTAATAAAGGACTCATAATTCATTCTCAGCGTGTGGCGAATTCCTTGACTCGCTTGGGTACAACAGCTTGAGCCCCAGAGGTCGAGACTGCAGTGAGCTGTAATCCTGCCACTGTACTCCAGCCTGGGCCACAGAGGAGACCCTGTCTCAAAAAGAAAAAAAAAAAAAGAAGAAGAAGGAAAAGAAAGAGACTAGGGGAGATTGTGAGGACTATTTAATACACATGAGGACCTAGAGGAGGACTTGGCCCAGAAGAAAGAGCAAAATACACCAGCCCTTGTGCTCCACACGGTCTTGTTTTGTCCTGCCAAGCCCACGGCTAGAGTTGCCCAAAATGCTGGCAGGGGAATTTCCAGAAGGGAGTGCCCCAAACCATCCCAAGATGGGGTTGGTTGGGATTCCAAAGAAAGAAGCACTAACGGCAGGGTGATGAGTCCAGAGCATTTATTAGGGGAACCTATGTACAGAAGCTGCAGCAACCCACTCGAGGGACAGCAAGAGACAAGGGGCCTCTCCCTAGGTACATTTGCAGCAAGGGGCCCGGGGTTTGTAGATGTCAGGGTTGAAGGAATTTAGCTCAGGGCCGAGGCCAGTTTCTTTCCGTGTTGTGGGCAAACAACCTAGATAGATAAATACTGAGGCCCAGCTTTGGGTTCAAACCTGCAGGGAAAAACCTGTAGCTGGCTGCATCACAGAGCAGTGAAGACATTCTGTGATTTTTGTTCAAGACTATTAGGGGAGACAGAGATCACCTCCAGCCCCCATTTTAGCTCTCAGTAGCTCTTCAACTGGATCTAGAAACCAAATGATACCAGGCAGATTTCTTTTTTTACCATTATTTTTATTTTTTGAGACAGAGTCTTGCTCTGTCACCAGGCTGGAGTCCAGTGGCGCGATCTTGGCTCACTGCAAACTCCAACTCCCTGGTTCAAGTGATTCTCCTGTTTCAGCCTCCTGAGCAGCTGGGATTACAAGCCCATGCCATCACACCCAGCTAATTATTGTATTTTTAGTAGAAACAGGGTTGCACCATGTTGGCCAGGCTGGTCTCGAACTCCTGACCTCAAGTGATCCTCCTGCCTCAGCCTCCCAAAGTGCTGGGATTACAGGCATGAGCCACTGCACCTGGCCAGCAGATTTTTTTTTTTAAAGCAAATCATTTTTATTTTTTAAAATTTATTTATTCATTTGAGACAGGGTCTCACTCTGTTTTGTGGGCTGGAGCGCAGTGGTGCAATCACAGCTCTCTGCAGCTTTGACTTCCTGGGCTCAAGGGATTCTCCCATCCCAGCCTCCCGAACAGCTGGGACTACAGGCACTCACCATCTCATTTTGTTGGTTTTTTTTTTCTGAGATGGAGTTTCACTCTTGTTGCCCAGGCTGAAGTGCAGTGGCGTGTCCTTGGCTCACTGCAACCTCTGCCTCCCAGGTTCAAGCGATTCTCCTGCTTTAGTTTCCAGAATAGCTGGAAATACAGGTGTGCACCACTATGCCCCGCTAATGTTTGTGTACTTTTAGTAGAGATGGGCTTTCACCATGTTGGCCAGGCTGGTCACAAACTCCTGACCTCAAGTGATCCACCCACCTCAGCCTCCCAAAGTGCTGGGATTATAGGCGTGAGCCACCCAACCTGGCCTATAATTTTTTAAAGTTTTTTTGTAGAGATGGAGTCTCCCTGTGAGGCTAGGCTGGTCTCGAACTCCTAGGCCCAAGTAATCCTCCTGTCTTGGCCTCTCAAAGCATTGGGATTACAGGCATGAGCCACTGCCCATCCTGACAGCGGGTAGGTTAACAAGAGAAAAGTATACAAATTTCATTAGTTTTGCATGAACATGGGGATCTTTACAGGAGAGGGAAGTCTGAAAAAGTGGCCGAAGCAAGATGCTTTTATACTTTTCAGACAAAGAATGATAAATTTAAGAAAAAACAACAGGACAAAGAAAACCTGGCAACAGGCAGTAAATTTTCCAGGGGAGTCACAGGAGATATTGGGGGGAGGTGTCAAACTAGTGGAAGATAAGGGTTATTCATTAAGTATATTTATTTAGGTCCATTGCAGCCTCCAATTCCCAGTCTCTGGGGATAGGGCTCTCTCTTCACCCTGGTATGGCAAGGGTACCCCTTCCAGAGGAAACTTTATGGCTTGTTTCATGCAAGAAGAGATGTGTCAGCCCACCCTATCTGAAACTATAGTTTCTCCAATAGTATCAGCTCAAAACAATTAATATACCAATCTGACATATTTTGGGATAGCACGTCCTTTACTCCTTCAGTTCATTGGCATGGAACTTCACTAGACGTTTTCAAACATTAAAAGCTGAGTTTGGCCTGGCACGGTGGCTCACACCTGTAATCCCAGCACTTTGGGAGGCCGAGGTGGGTGGATAATGATATCCGAAGACTGAGACCAGCCTGGCCAACATGGTGAAACCCCGTTTCTACTAAAAATACAAAAATTAGCTGTGCTTGTTGGCGTGCGCCTGTAGTCCCAGCTACTCAGGAGGCTGGGTCAGGAGAATCGCTTGAACCAGGGAGTCGGAGTTTGTAGTGAGCCGAGATCGCACCACTGCACTCCAGCCTGGTGACAGAGCAAGACTCCATCTCAAAGAAAAAAAAAAAAAAAATGCTGAGTTGGTTGCTGTGGAGAGAAGAGTTGAGTTAGTAACTCTGTGATAACAGATCTCAAAAGGGAGAGAAGCGCATCGATCAGGAGGCGAATGGACAACCAGAAGAGAATAATCTAAGTGCAGTTCCCACGCTCCAGGAAGCGAGCCTCTCCTTGCTGGGAGTAGGTTCGTCCAATGGAATGTTTTAGCCTTCACGCTTCGGGGAACAGGCCGAGCTGGCCTTCTCCCAGGCTCTAGTAGTTTCCGCGCCGCTGTCGCATGCCTGCGCGCACAGCTGGGCCGGCAGCGCGTCCTACCCAGCAGCCATGAGCCAGGCTGCGGTGCCAGACGGTTCCCGGCGGGGGGCAGGGGCGGAGGAGCCCCAAGGAGGCCCGCCTGACCACTGACCGGTTGCCATGGCATCCTACTACGAGATTCTAGATGTGCCGCGAAGTGCGTCCGCTGATGACATCAAGAAGGCGTACCTGCGCAAGGCTCTCCAGTGGCACCCAGACAAAAACCCAGATAATAAAGAGTTTGCAGAGAAGAAATTTAAGGAGGTGGCCGAGGCATATGAAGTGCTGTCTGACAAGCACAAGCGAGAGGTGTATGACTGCTATGGTCGGGAAGGGCTGACAGGGGCAGGAACTGGCCCGTCTCGGGCAGAAGCTGGCAGTGGTGCACCTGGCTTCACCTTCACCTTCCGCAGCCCCGAGGAGGTCTTCCGGGAGTTCTTTGGGAAAGGAGATCCTTTTGCAGAGCCCCTGATGACCGGCGCCTTTTCTCAGAGCTTCAGAGCCGGGGTTCCCGACACTCAGGCCCCTTCTTTACCTTCTCTTCCTCCTTCCCTGGTCAGTCCGATTTCTCCTACTCATCTTTCTCCTTCAGTCCCAGGGCTGGTGCTTTTCACTCTGTTTCTACATCTACCACCTTTGTCCAAGGACGCCGCATCACCACACGCAGAATCACGGAGAACGGGCAGGAGCCGGTGGAAGTGGAAGAGGACTGGCAGCTGAAGTCAGTCACAATCAATGGTGTCCCAGATGACCTGGCACTGGGCTTGGAGCTGAGCCGTCGCGAGCAGCAGCCGTCAGTCACCTCCAGGTCCGGGGGCACTCAGGTCCAGCAGACCCCTGCCTCAGGCCCCTTGGACAGTGACCTCTCTGATGATGAGGACCTGCAGCTGGCCATGGCCTACAGCCTGTCAGAGATGGAGGCAGCTGGGAAGAAACCCGCAGATGTGTTCTGAGCCGGATGCCGGGATCCAGAGTCGTTGCACAGTTCCAACAGGACAGCGCCCTCCCCCATGTGCTGGGAGGGGACCCTCCATTCCTCTCCCTCACCCTTGCTGAGTGTAGAGCCGGGGCCTGGGTGGTGGGTGGGGGCTGGGTGGGAGGCAGCAGTAGTCTTAGCCTGTGCACTCTCTTCCTTGGGTGTTTGGTGCTGGCCCCTGGGGACTACAAATCCCAGAATGCGGTGCGCCCGGCCCCATTTCTGATAGATCCCGCTTGGGGGAGTTGGTGCCTAGTTATGGAGCTGTGCATCTTGGGACATGTAGTAGCCCAGGTCGGCCTGTCACTCACTGTGAGATGGGAAGATTTTGTCTTTTGATTTATCCCTGGAGGGCCGGCAAGGTCGTAGATGAAGGGGGAATGATCTGAGCCTTGGTTCCTCTGACACGTCTTGCTAGCCCCAGGGTTAGAGTGGGCAGGGCAGAGCCGTGCAGCACCTGGGAGAGGTTCCCTTCCCGTGGGCAGCCTGGGGTCCCAGGAACAAGCCAGGGCCAGTAGCATGTTTGCCTGAGCAGGGCGTGGCTCCGGAAAGCTGAGGAGTGTGTGCTGGCAGAGAGCTTCGAGGGCAAGGCCACCCGAGGGGGCGTGTGTGTGGCGGGGCTTGGCGTGTGATGGCAGCTCCAGGCATGCCGCTGCTTGTATGGCTTTCTTTGGCCTCTGACCCTGCTGCCCATTCTTTCCAACATCACAGACGAGCAGCCCCTCCTCCTCCCTGCCTGGGGAGCCCGGTGGCCAGGGAGGGGAGTGGTGGAGCCAGCTTCTGTAACACTGAGTCTCAGAGACGAACCAAAGCCAGCTGGGCTCAGCTCAGACAGAGGGGAAAATGCTGGAAGGCAATAAAACTGTTTTGAGAAAAAAGAAAAAAAATGTCTTAGCCTTGTTCAGGCCCAGTAGTTCACACCTGTAATCCCAGCACTTTGGGACGCCGAGAGGGATGGATCACCTGAGGTCAGGAGTTCGAGACCACCCTGACCAACATAGAGAAACCTGTCTCTACTAAAAAATACAAAATTAGCCAGGCAGTACAACCTTCTGATGAAACTCCTGACCTCAGATGTTTCATATGATGAAACCTCATCTCTACTAAAAATACAAAAATGAGCTGGGCGTGGTGGCATGTGCATGTAATCCCAGCTACTCAGGAGGCTGAGACAAGAGAATCACTTGAACCCAGGAGGCGGAGCTTGCAGTAAGCCGAGATCGTGGCTTTACACTCCAGCCTGGGCAACAAGAGCAAAACTCTGTCTCAACAACAACAACAACAACAGCAACAGCAACAAAAAAGTTTTAGTCTCATTTATTTCATGAAAAACGTTATTTATTTGTTTGTTTTATTGAAACAGAGTCTCCCTCTGTCACCCAGGCTAGAGTACAGTGGTGCTGTCTTGGGTCCCTGCAACTTCCACCTCCCAGGTTCAAGTGATTCTCCTGCCTCTGCCTCCTGAGTATCTGGGATCACAGGCACGTGCCACCACGCCTGGCTAACTTTCATTTTTTTTTTTTTTTT